GGGTAAGCCCAATAAAGGGGTAAGATTGATGGGCTGGAGCGTTGTCTAGCAGGGAAGATAGAAGATGTCGAGATGGTCAACTTCAAGCCCCTGGGCAGCAACCCTGGCAGGTTCAACCTGATGATCGACTGTTGGTCTGAATAGAATGTCCTAGAAAGTAAGAGAATGAACCCACACCCCCTGAGCGCTTTTCAGCGACGATTGCTGGTGATCTCTGGGTATATGTGCGCTTTGTCCCGTTGCTCAGGTGTGGGTAAACTCTACTGACTATTATACAAGATGGTCGGACAATTTCAGTACTTTGTTTCGTGTCCAGTACACACTAGAGTACCTCTTAGACATACATCTTGAGACGTTTTTTACAGTGTTGCGGGAAATGGCCAGATCTTACCCCACTCCAGGTGCCTCTTAGCATTGCTTAAACTGTCATTCTGTAAATCCCGGTTGACCAAGGGGGCAAAGGGGGGGGGGGGGTTTGTTCACTCTGCGGGGAAGCAAGCGAGATTGGCATAGAGGTCCTAGCATTCCCTTATATTAAATCGAGATAAGATAGTGTGAAGGCAGGTTGATGAGCTGTTCAAGTCACCAACAAAGTACTGTGAGTGGAGGGACGGCACGGATAAACCCGCAGTCTGAATAAAACCCGATTGTCGATGGACAATGGAGAAAGACATGTAAATAGGAGATGTGGCAAGAAGGATGACAGGAACTCCCTACATCTCTGAGCATTAATACTAGTACTTGTAGGTGACTATGTGACTAGGCCCTTGCCGTTGTCAATAGTAGCCCCTCCCTTCCCCGTAGATCCCTGGGCTCCCAGAGTGGTGAGTAATAGTTCAAAACTACCTGAATATCGATTGAAGGGAGAGTGAATTGAGGCTACTGAGGCTACCTTGGGCTACCTTACTACAGTTCTTCAACCCTGGATCGCGGGAAACAAGGGATTTTGTTGTAACAGGAAGAGAAGACAGAGGAGAGAATAAATTGAAGAGACGAAAGCCATCGGCTATCAATATCAATCAATATACTCATCAGCTGAAAAGAAAGGGTGGTCTTGGCTTTGCCATTGGCGGCGAACTGCGCCCGCTTGGATGTGACACCACGTGACCCCGACAACCTCCCGCCTTCGAATGCAAACCAACTTCGGAGCCTCCCAAGGCGACTCTGTCTCCCATCTATCTCTTCGAGTCGCTGGCGTCTCTGCTACATCATCGCTTCCTCGATTGCTCACGCGCATTCCTCACCTTGATAGTTATACCTGCTGTCTGACAGCGCTGTTCAACTTCACATTCAGGATTCTGGCCAGTTAATCGTCTTCCGGTCCTCTGACTCGCTCGCTCCGACCACCCTCCCGCCTGCCCACATCCCCTCCGTCGCTTGCACCTCGATCGCCCCTCCGTCTCCCATCCGATCAACTGGAACTCCAGCCCAAGCTGCACCAGACCTTCCAACAAGTGGTGAGCGTCGCTGCACTCGTGAAACCCCTGCGTGTCTCCGAATTGGGGTGGTTCCGCCTAGGACCCCATGTTGAAGAGAAGGAGAGAACGTATCCAGTCCCCGAATCCTCCTCTCTCTCCTGCCACCGCCGTCACCTTCACCAATCCGGCTCGTCCAGCCTCAATCAGCCCTAGAACTCTTCCCCAATCAGTCCACTCACGGTCTCGTCTGCCACGTTAAATGGCAGATGGTACCTACAGGTTCCAGCAGCCTGGGGCCGGGCAGTTCTTCTTCCAAACACAAGCGCAACAACACTCTCACCAACGTCACCTCGCACGGAACGGGACCAACTCCCCGACTGGAAGACTAAAATTCAGCCACGAGACCCCTTCACCCTCCCGCTCCCCTCCTCTCAGCCAAGCAGCGGCTCTCAACCCCTTCACGATGTACAGCCAAACCCACCAAGGGCAACATGTCATGATAAATGGCGGCCAGACCCACCAACGCTTTGGCATGCAGATGCCGAAGTTCCAGTCGCAAAGCCATCATCCACATCCTGCTCAGCAACCCCATCACCATGCCCACCATAACCAAGCTTCACACAACATTAGCCACCAACACAACTTCTCCAGCGGGGCATTAGCTGCCGCTACTCCGCATTTCACTCCCGGTCCCCTCCAGAACGGGGCTCATGTCAATGTTGAGGAGGACCTCGATGACTCCATGAACGAACACTGGCAGCAACAGCTTCAACTAGCGGCGGAGTCGCGACAGGCCAATTCGCCCCACTACTATGCTCGGACAGTTGCTCAGCAGACTAAAGGCATTCAGATCGCGCCCAGCCATCCCGAACCACAAGAGAATGGAGGCGAAGAGAGAAATGGCGTTGTCAAATCGAAAGCATCTTCGCGGCAGGGTTGGTATGCTCTCGATTTCGGCGGACAAGGCTTGCGGGCTCTGTCGTCGTCCCTCTTCAGTTACACCTTTCTAGAGAAGTTGTATCTGAACCACAACAAGCTCAAAACTCTCCCTCCGGCCATTGGACAATTGCGGAAGTTGACTCACTTGGATCTTTCGAGCAACGACCTCACCGAGCTTCCCGAGGAGATTGGTATGCTCACAAGCTTGAAACAACTTCTGCTCTTTGACAACACTATTCGCACGCTCCCTTACGAAATGGGTTATTTGTACAGGCTGGAGATGTTGGGTATCGAAGGAAATCCGCTGAACGACGTTTTGAAGACTCAAATCATCAAGGAGGGTACGAGAGCTCTGATCAAGTACCTGAGGGAAGAAATGCCAGGTATGTATACATCTCGGAAAATGTCCGCATTGCTTGGTGGATAACTGACGTTTCAGCCATAGTTCAACTGCCACCACCCGATCGAGACTGGGTCATTTTGGACGAGACCGCAACTTCCCGCAACGCTCCCACCGAGAAGGTCACTGTTCTCTCCCACAACGCTTTGTGCGAATCGTCTGCCACTGCATCCCACTTCGGCTATACTCCTTCGCGTGCGCTGTCATGGGAGTATAGACGAGAGCTTATCCTGAGCGAGTTGAGGTCCCACGACTCGGACATTGTCTGTCTTCAGGAAGTCGACCAGGGAAGCTACAATGGGTTCTTCAGGGAGCAGCTGGCTTACAACAATTACAAGGGTGTTTATTGGCCTAGAGGACGCGCCATGGGCATGCAAGAGGAGGAAGCCAAGAATGTTGATGGTTGTGCTACCTTTTTCAAAGACAGCAAATTCATTCTTCTCGACAAGCAGTTGATCAACTTCGGTCAGACGGCCGTACGGAGACCCGACGCCAAGGGCCAAGACGACATCTACAATCGCCTCTGGCAGAAGGATCACATTGCTGTTGTTGTATTCTTGGAAAACCGGTTGACTGGCTCGCGCTTCATCGTTGTCAATGCCCATCTCTACTGGGATCCGGCTTTCAAGGATGTCAAGTTGATCCAAACGGCCATCTTGATGGAGGAAATCACTAAGCTCTCCGACAAATATGCCAAGTGGCCTGCCTGTACCGAAAAGACGGCGTTCCGCTTTGCTGATGCAGGCGGCAATGAGACGGAAAACCCCCCGGAATGTGCGCCATCTATGGAGTATAGCAGCGGCGAGCAGATCCCGCTCTTCATGTGCGGAGACTTCAACTCTGCGCCTGGATCAGCGGCCTACAATCTGGTCGCCAATGGCCGGCTTACGGAGGCACATCCCGATCTGGAGAAGCGACTCTACGGCAACCTCAGCCGGGTCGGTATGACGCATCCGTTCAAGCTGAAGTCTGCATACAATTCCATCGGCGAGCTCAGCTTCACGAACTACACGCCGGATTTTAAGGATATTCTGGATTACATCTGGTTCTCATCGAATACACTCCATGTGTCGGCGTTACTTGGGGAGGTGGACAAGGACTATCTGCAGAAAGTGCCCGGATTCCCCAACTTTCATTTTCCAAGTGATCATATCGCATTATTTGCGGAGTTTACCATTAAAGGGAAAAAGGGCAAGGTTGTGGAAGCGGATTTTGGACCGCAACGGAATTGAGGAAACGGAGCATGTTGAATCTTACGAGAACTGGTGTTTGTGTAGCCGGTTTATCTTGTTATCTCGGAATCTTGGGGGCCTTTCGCGTGTCTGTGGTGTTCTTCAGTTGCTTTTCTGCTCGTGCTGCATTTTTCCACTCTTCCCATTCTTCTTGTGAGTCTATTTCTTGTTTCTGCTGTCGCCCGGTGGGGGACTTTTCATGCAGCCGAACCTGCATCCCCGGATTCTCTTTGGAAAGTAGTTTTTTCCATGGCGCAGCAGCAGCTCTTTTTTTCTTTTTCTTTCTCTTTTTCAATCTTTTCGCTTCTCTCCGTTGGTATGTGTTAGGATTTGTCTTATGCTCTTCTTCTTCTTTTCTTCCTGAACGACGCTTCCTTCTGCTTCTTCTTTCTCTCTCTCTCTCTGGCTTCCTACCGTCGGCTTCGTGATCTACTTGTAGATTGGATCCTGGTCCCGAATTCCATCTTTCTTCGGGTTCTTTTTTCCCCTTTGCTCTCCCTCTTTTTCTCCCCCCCCCCTTCCCTCCTCCGTTTGAAACTCTTTTCATCCTTTTGCACTCAAGATAGGCGAATGGGGTCATGTTGCTGTTTGCTGTTGTTGTTGTTGTTGTTGTTGTGTGTATGCATGGTTGGCTGGTCGGTTGGGTTACATAGTCTTGAACCCTGATACGATTTATCGTTCGTTGTGTGTTCTTTTTTTTCACCATGTGGAGATGCAGAAAGCAGATTTGGTTCTTTTGTCCCCTTTGAAAGAGGTCGGGTCTGATGGTGTTGTTGGTTGAGAGAGTGCTGCTCTTTCCTCATCACTTGTAATTCCGCTGTTGCACAGTAGAAGAACCCCTGTAGATCCGGTAATCTGTAAGACACTTCTCTAGGTGATCAGGATTGTATATGCTTTTACCTGGTGGGTTGGTCCTGACGGGGTCCTGTACCTATAGGTGCCTAGTGATATGATATTCCGAAAATGGGTAGGGAGTCAAACAGTCTATTTCTATAACTACTTTACAGACAAAGGGTATATTTTTTTCGGGGAAACAGGCTATACAAGGTTGTGTCGCATAGTCTACGCGTCGGTAGTCGCCTTCTCTTTCACCTTCCGATCCTCAATCCTCCTCCAGATACCGATAAATCCGCCTCCTACGATCCTGGTGCCAACCTTGGGTCGACAGACTAGCACACGATCCGCATCCTGTTCCGCTGAGCTGGAAGCCGAGGTCGTAGCAGCTGTCCCCTCCGCAGCCTCCTCACCAACCGCCCCCTCTTGCTCTCCCTCTACACCCTCCTCCGACACGGAAGACGCGCCGGCCCCAGCCTCCGAGAGCGTGTCCTTGGCTTTCCTCGTCGCATGCCGAACATCCCACAGCCGCCCGCTACTGATCCCATTGCCCAGCTCTACCACCTTCTCCTGGATCAGCGGCAACCGCTCCCGGCGGATCAACTCCAGACAGTCGCCGATCTGGGTGACGCTGGGCGTGAAGACCGCGAGCAGGCCGTCGCGTTTCAGGATCGAGGTGACGTGCGGGATGCGCAGGTGCGCGGAGGGCATATCGAGGATCGCGTACGAGAGGAACGGGTCTACCTCCGTCTCTGAAGCGGCTGTTGTTGTTGTTGTTTGGTTATCGGCGGAGGCGGCGGAACGGCTGCGTTCTTGTTTCTGCGCCTCGACCCAGGTCTCGACGGGGCCGGAGTAGAAGTCGACGTTGCCGGCGTAGATGCCGCGGCGGAAGCCCCGGACGAGGGACTCGGCGTGGCGCGCGGTTTTGTGGGTGATGTCGACGGTGTGGATGACGGCTTTGCGCTGAGAGCGCCAGTTGTCCCAGGCCATTTGGGTGGCGAGGGTTTCGGTGGGGTCTGTTTCTGAGGTGGTGGTGGTGGTGGTCGAGTCGGAGGTGGAGGCGGCGGGTTCTGGGGTTGCTCCTGTTGTTATCGATGCTGGTGAAGCCGGTGGCTGTGAGGAGGTGCGAGAGGGAACGAGGTCTTCGACTTGAGAGGTTGTTGGAAACGGGGGTGGAATGGAATTGGCGCCCTGGATGGCACGAGCGAGATGGAGGGTCAAGGACCCATGGCCGGTGCCGGATTCGAGGATTTCAAGAGGAGCCTGTTCGGGATCGGAAGAAGGCGCCACGTGGATGTCGAGGAGGGAGACGATTAGGTTGGCGTCTGCGGAGTAGATCTAGATGGTTCGCGAGTCTTTCATTAGACGGGGGGACCGTTCCTAGCCTGTTGTGGTGGTTGTACATACCGGTGTCACCAGGCGAGGCGTCATTGCGACATATTCTTCGAGCGTGGGCAGATAGAGCCTGTATTCCGGGCCTGGACAGATATGTACTGGTCAGCGCTCTGCTTGTTTATCCTCTCATCGTGGTGGTACAAGACTGCCAAAGGTCAACATACCCTTGTGTGACGGGATCAGATCTCGCACTCTCCGGCCGATAATATCGTTATGCTCCAACCTCCCCCGACGAACATCTGTCCGGCCACCCTTGCGCAGTGGTTTGGTCAAAAGAGGCGTCTTTCCATCGACGACGGCCCTATCTCCCTCTAAGGAATGTCAGATTCAGGTACATGCAGAACAGCAATCGCAAGCGGGTGTGATCGCCTTACCCCGGAGATAGGTAAAATTGGTATCAATGGACGGGAAACGACGGGCGATGGATTGAGATGGTAAAGAGGGACTCGGGCTTGGGGTCTTGGGCGCAGCTGCAGGAGTCGGTCCCAAGATCCGACGCAGTACTTGCAGCAGACGCGCCATTGAGGGCAACTGATTGAAGGCGATTGCCAGAAGGGTTTGTTCAACTGTCCTAATGCACCATAACGAAACTTTTCCGGTTGAAAGGGACCGACTACGCTTTCCTTATCCGGTTCCGGTCCGACTTGCGCGCCGCTTTTTGTACCCCAAAGGGCGGAGAAAGGACGTGGAGGAGTTGAAGAGTGCGTGTGCGGAGCAGGGATTCTACTTGTTCCATCTTATCTTTCTTGATCTGATCAACAATGGTTACTGGAGCACAGCCCAACATGCTTGACATGTTCTTGAAAAGACTACCGGGATACAGACGGTAGCTTGACACAAGAGACTGTAGTCCCGCTGTCTTGAGAGATCCATTGAGCGGAACGCCCGTGACCAAGCAGTTGCCTTTGACAACCTTCCATCTACCATTGATCGAACCCAGCCACAGCCCGTGGTGGTCGAATATATCAACCATCTTCTGTGATAGAGGCAGTCAAGTGGTGGGGATCGAGTCCCCTCCCCTCACTGAAGAGACGGTCCGCTCCCGTTGTTTCCCCCACCCCCAGCATGACTGGGTCGGTGCGTATTCATTGAAAGGCTGAAGTGAGTGGCCGAAAGAGCTCCGAGATGACTTCCGTCTTGTTCCTTAAAAGCGGCGGGCGCAGGTTGACCCCCAGCCTCAGGAACGAATTCCATTGCGGAACAAAAAAGAACACAAAACAATTCACTGGTAAACTAGTCTCGAATTGGCACAGTATCTGGGGAAACTCCGCCGATCTAACAACTGACTCAAGCGTGGCCCAATTGATCTTTGCTTGACGGCGGGTTTCGTGATTATCCACTCTTTCACTGATCGAGTCTAGCTGCTGGACTTGCTGACTCTCTCTTCTCATTCTCCCCTCTCCAACGCGGGGCTCTCTTCTTCAAATTCCTCAAAACTGTCATCAACATCCACTTGACGATTTTTTTGGAATCAGTCTATATCTGTCCGCCTGCTCCCCCGCCGCGGCCTTCTTCTGCCCCTCAATCAGGTTTGTCAATCCCGCTTCCCAGCGCCAGCTGTTCCCTTCCCGTCCTTCGTCCTTTAAGATCAAGCCTGATCGGTGAATGCACTGAATGGAGATCGCATATAGTTGTGTCTGACATTGCGGCAGTAGAGAAAAAAAAAATTCCTTCCATAACTACCGACCATGGCCGCCTCTAATCTTCCATACATGAAGACCGACCCCAAGATCATCTTCTTCACGGACTTCGACGGCACAATCACTCTTGAAGACAGTAAGCTTGCTCTGGCCGTGACGTCAGTCCGTCAAACCTGCTAACAAACTTGAACAGGTAACGATGCTATGGTAATCTCTCAATCTGAGTCGATTCAATGTTTCGCCGTCTTTGACTGACTCTCTACTTCGCTCGCAAGATCGATAACCTGGGTTATGGGCGCGACAAGCGCCGCGAAGGGAACCTGGCGGTCCTCGAAGGCACAATGAGCTTCCGGTACGTCCGTCGAAACAGGGCCAGCTTCTTGACGGTCGGCTAATCTTTAACACCCAAACCCAGTGACTCCTTCCGCGACATGTTGGACAGTATCAAGACCCCCTACAATGAGTGTATCGAGTACCTCAAGAAAAACATGAAGCTCGACCCCTACTTCGTCGAGTTCTACCACTGGTCGCGGGAAAACAATGTGCCGATCGTTGTTTTGTCGTCCGGCATGATCCCCGTTATCAGTGCCCTCTTCGAGGCATTGCTGGGCGGCAAGCCGGACGACCATCTCTACATCGTTGCGAATGAAGTTGAGAGCCGTGATGGTAAGGACATAAACAGCGAGGGTGGTTGGAAAATCAAGTACCACGATGATAGGTAAGGACCCTCGCAACTTGGACCTCGTAACCAGTCCGAACAGAGCTGACGTCATATTCCTAGCCATTTTGGCCACGACAAGTCCTTGGAAATCAAGCCTTACGCCGCGCTACCAGACAACGAGCGCCCGACCTTGCTGTACGCGGGAGATGGAGTCTCTGATCTGTCTGCCGCGGCAGAGACGGATCTGCTGTTCGCTAAGAAGGGCAAAGGTAGGCTTACTGTAGGATCTTTTGCTTGAGTTTGAGTGACTAATACTTCCAGATCTCGTGACTTTCTGCGAGCGCCAAGGGGTCCCCTTCACTCTGTTCGAAAGCTGGGAGTCGATTCTTGCGACGACTAAAGACATCCTGGCGGGCAAGGTCTCTGTCAAGAAGGTGGCTCAGGAAGGATTGGACCAGGTTCATCAGGGAGGCAGCAAGGCCTGATGAAGAGGCGGTTTTTGCAGCAATAGATATAGACTACAGGGCCATAGACGTATAGGCAGGCCAAGTGCTAGACTCTATAATGATAGATAGACATGACATTCAATTCCGATCAGCTGGTTTCGACTCACCTGCACGTAGTAACAATCGACCGTATTTTCAATGGACGATGAACCAAATATCCCCGACTAGGCTAGTGCAGGGTTCCCCCTCAGCTAACCTCTAAAGGGCTAGCTCCCGTTCAGCTTCCGATTTGACGGGCCAGAGCCATGTGACCAGCTCCCCACCGCCTTCCGGACATGGTAAGGACTGGGGGCGGACTCCGCTTGGGGCAGGCCAGACAAACCGATCGCCTTCTTTCCCCTCCTGAATTCGAGAGAAAATCATCAAGGGCCCCTTGTGAGATGACCGGTGATCAGGTCCTTCTCTTTGGCAAGCCCCTGAATCTTTTTGTCTGGTACTTGTGTGTTTCAACATGCTCCTGTGCTTGTGGCCGCTTCACGCATCTGTTTAGCACTGGCCAGGGGTACCCATAACTAACAACACGACTTTTAGCATGACACGCCGACTTGTATGTTTGGAGCCTCTGTGCATCCCGGAGATGGATACTTGCTTGTGGGAAGATACCTTGCTAAATCCGCTGTTTCTTTCCAGGTTCGAGCGGGCGTGCAGCTCGCTATTTTTGCGTCCTTCGTCACTCTCCTCGTTGTGGTCTTGGACAACCGATTCCGCGTCCTCCCTGCCTCGATCCATGGCCACCTTCCGTCCCACTACAACGGCCTCGTCGTCACTGATGTGACAGTTGTCACCTGTTCGTCCGTGAACGTCTTCTCCAGCTGCAAACCAAACCCACAGACGGCATGGTCGCAGGTGGAAAAGGATCTTTACCTCCGCACCGGTTGGACCTCGAGCGCTTTTGTCCGCTTCGAGCGCAAGAAAGAGGAGGAGCTCCTCGCCAGCGACCAAGTGGTCATTGACCTCAAGATTAGCCGGCTCGTCCCAGAATACTCAGATAAGCCCGAGGACGAAAAGGAGACGTGGGAACAAAGACCCGGAGGCATCTGGCTGAAGCGGACAGCCAAGCGGCATGCGAGTGACTCGCAGAAGGCGATCACGGCCGTCGACGTCCTGTTCGGCGCGGATGCCGTGGACCCTCGTATTGGCTGGGAAGTGAAGGATACCCCGCTGCTACTGGATAGCCGGACGGAGGCCCTGGAGGCCCGGATTAGCGTTCGGAGGGGCGATCCCACCAAGACGAAGAAGCCAGTGCCTCGCATCAATGAGAACGGGCGGTTCAAGATCATGCAGCTCGCAGATTTGCATCTGAGTACGGGCCTCGGAGCGTGCCGAGACCCCGTGCCGGCGGAGTCGGTTGCGGGCCAGAAGTGCGAAGCTGATCCCCGGACACTGGAATTTGTGGAGCGGCTCTTGGACGAAGAGCAGCCGGACATGGTCGTTCTGAGCGGAGATCAGGTCAACGGCGAGACGGCCAAAGATGCGCAGAGCGCGCTCTTCAAGTCCGTGAAGTTGCTGGTCGATCGCAAAATCCCCTACGCGGCTATTTTCGGCAACCATGACGATGAGGGAGACCTTTCCCGACTGGAATTGATGACGATATTGGAGGACCTGCCATACTCGCTCTCGATGGCGGGGCCTGAGGAAGTGGACGGCGTTGGAAATTATTATGTGGAGGTCCTGGGCCGCGGAAGCACTCAGCACTCAGCTCTGACTCTATACTTGCTGGATAGCCACTCCTACTCCCCTGATGAGCGTCAGTTCCGCGGCTACGATTGGATCAAACCAACTCAAATCCATTGGTTCAAGAACACTGCTCACAGCTTGCGGAGCAAGCACCACGAATACACTCACATGCACATGAATATGGCTTTCATCCACATTCCCGTGCCTGAGTATCGCGACTCCCGCAACTACTACCGGGGAAATTGGTCCGAGGCTCCAACAGCTCCGGGCTTTAATTCGGGGTTCAAGGACGCCATGGAGGAAGAGGGCATTTTATTCGTAAGCTGTGGACAGTAGGTGTCTCCCTTGTTGGATATGCAGATACAGGTGCGCTAACATCTCTCCCAGTGACCACGTCAACGACTACTGCATGTTGAACCGTGATCACGAAGAAAAGCCATCCCTCTGGATGTGCTATGGAGGTGGAGTCGGGTTTGGCGGTTATGGAGGCTATGGAGGCTACGTGCGACGGGTGCGGTTCTATGACTTCGACATGAACCCCGGTCGTGTCATGACCTACAAGCGGCTTGAGCATGGCGAGACTGAAGCCCGCATCGACGAGATGATGATTATTGATGGAGGTACGGTCAAGGGACCGGATCCAGAGCTTTAAGATACCGACTTTTTCCCAATAAGAGGCTTCTTTTCTCTTCTTTTTTTCGTTTCCCTTTGACACAGAGCTCCATCGCTCCACGGCTCGGTTTTTATCTTCGATGACAAACCGGAGTAAACTTTGACTTGACCTTTTGTTCTGTATTATACCTACTATACCTACGAGTGAGCTCGGAACCGGCATCTGCGGGCATTGGCAAAAAAGGGGAGGGGGGGGGTTGTTTTGCAGGGTTACCCTCCAAAAGATTGATTTGCTATTTGAATGCACTATCGTTGTTTATCAATTTTTCTACTTGACTACTGTAGTTTCTTTCTTACTTTTCTACCAACCAATTTTAACTATGGCTCCTTTTTTTGTTTTTTTTTTTTTTTTTTTTTTTTACCACCACTTTTCGTAGAACACCCTTTCTCTGCCACCAAGTAACCCCTCCAATGTCCCCACGATCTCATCCGTCATGCCCGGCGGTCCGCACACGTAGGCTACCGTCTTCCCCGGCTCGATTGTCCCATCGTCCCCGCTTGCCGCGGCGGCCCGCAGATCGTCGGCGTTGATCCGGCGACTGTGTATCCGCAGGTCATCGTCATCGTCGAATGAGTGTCCGAGAAGCGAAGAGGCCTTCTTCTCGTCTAGGTTCGTGATGAACAGATGCAGCGTGATCCGGAGACGACACAGCTGCGACTGTATGTTTACGATATGTCGGAGTCGGGAGAGGAACAGGATCTGGTCCAGTGAGCTCTCAGGGGATTGGGTAGTGGTTGCTGTTGCTGTCGTCGTCGTTGTCGTTTCTGGCTGGGGAATTTTGGTGGAATATAGGACGTGGATGTTTAAGGAGGGATGGCGGAGCGTGGTAGTTGCCTCGTCGTCGTTGTTTAGATGGGAGAGCATGGAGATGAGAGGGCTAGAGGTCGTTGGTTAGCTGGGCTTTTTTGTTGTCATTCGATCATGAGGAGAAGGAGATCTTTGGGGCTTGTGGAGTGAAATAGCTTGAGGCTGAATTGGAAGTGCATCTCGTACTGCTCTACAGCCCCAAACTACCACTTTGCAATCGTAACACCACTAGGGAGAAGAAAGGCCAGTCCCGAGACGCGGACTAGCCCAGGGCACTCAATGCTATATATCGCAAAAAGGGAGAGAGTAAGGACGGGGCAAGCTCACTTAATCCCCACTCCTCCGGCAATGAAAACCACATTCCGAATATCAGTCAACCGCACCCCGGACGGCGGCCACACAAAGCTCCCTCCTACACGGATGCTAAGCTCGGAACCCAGAATCTCCTCTGTGGGCTTCCAGAGCCATGCGCTGGCCGGATTCGAGGGCGCGTGGCGCACGGCGAGCTCGACATACGGCGATCGACCCCCCGGGTTGAGCGGGGGCAGGCCCGCTTCATCGTTGGCGATGGCTTCCACGGGGGCTGTCTCGGCCAGCGAGGGAAGGACTTGTGCGTCCGCGGGAGTGGATGTGATACTGAAGCCTCCTGCGTTGGAGATGGAGGGGATATGGACGTCGAGCCATTGGCCTGGGAGGAAGGTCAATGGTTGGGGGTGGGACTGTACGGGGGGGACGTGGTTAGTACGACGAGGGTAACGAGTGGAAAGCAATTGGTATGACACAGAGCGAGAGAGATAGAGATCGTGAGGGCTAGAGCTAGCTCTTACTTCTTGATCGCTTTCTTGGTTGTTCTCCTCCGGACTCTGCACCTCGGGGGGAATGGTTAGTTGCAGCAGTCGCACGCATGGGTTGACCTGCTCGATGTGCGACAGGCGGACGTTGTATAGTCGGTTCTGGCGGGGCTCGGCGGCAGTGCGCATCTGATGGGGCAATGTGCCCTTCCCACTCGTTGCTGCGCTCATCTGGTAACGCTGTAGCGTCGTAGCCGATTGTTGGCGCTTAACGAGACCCGGGGATTGTTGGAGATGGCGTGACAGGCCGCGTAACACGGTGTGACTGCGCATCCAAGAGGCACCAACTTGGTGATGGTTAGATCCGCGCGGTTTGATAATCCCTTACCCGAGCGCTTGATTCGAGGTTGTGGATTTATAATTGACTGTTGGCTTCGTAGGAATCTGTTTGAATTGTTAACTATACCAAGGTTGAAAGTGAGCTGTGATTCGAGAAGGTGGTGACGTCCATGTCATGTGCTCGGCCGCCCTCATTTCCTCTTTCTTTTGTTTCTCCAACCATCTCCAACTACTCCGTACTACTACCATCTTCGAGATTCAAGAGATTCTGCTTCAGTTTTTGACTTCTACGATCATTCAGAAGCATACATCTGAGAACACTATCGCAATACTTAACCTCAAATCATGCATGAGCCCGTCACAATAGCAGCACCAAGTCATGGTTGGATGCTCCACCCGAGCGCTTCGATCTCAAGTGAGCACGGCCGTTCAACGACTACCTGTGGGTAGTCAATCTTTGCCAGGCTTACTCCCCCTCATTGCAGAAGCAACCCGCTCGGTGCGTGCATGCAGATCTTTCTTCACCATCACACGGCTCTAGTGTGTGACGGCCGGCAGCCAAACCGCCCACTCTGGCGCCTCATTGGCGACAAGCCCTAGGTGCGGGCGCTTCCTGGCCGACACGCATTGGCCAGATGCACCTGTAAGAAACATGCAACCAGTGCTCTCTCCGCCATGCTTTGTGATCGTTTGCCCCTCTCCGCACGCATCGTGCCCATGGAGCCAGAACCATTCGACCTGGGGGTTCTACCCTACGGGGAGGCGCCGGTACTTCATATCTATGCGCCCGCCCTTTTCCAACAGACGCCCTCTCTGATTCCTTCCCCTCCTGCTGCAAAGGGACATATTCTCTGCCTATACTTTCGCGTTTCAGCTTGCCCGGCTTTGTCTTTGATGTCCCTGCACTGAAAAACGCCCAGCCAGCCGGCTCTGGCCCATTCCCAACGTATCTTGGTGAAGATACAAGCTCGAAGCGCCAGACAACGCAGGATTCTGGGTTTCAGAGGGACGGTTTCTTTCACAGTCCCCCGTCTGCCAGATCTGAAGAAAGATCTTGGCATTGAATAGAGAAGCAGTACTATTTACACCGAGAGCTCTCCCCTCCTCCTCTCACCATGTTCGGTTCCAAGAGGTTTTACTTCCCGACACGATGGCGGAATCATAATCTCCTGTACATACTGATGGGCGTCGAACTGCCGCTGGTGGTCATCATCCTAACATTGACCGGTATCGCGAATCATGACCTCTACCGCACGAAGCTCTGGCAGGATGGCGCCGACAATGGCTTCAACAGTGCCCCCAATGAGGCTCTCTACGCTGCGGCTAACCACCGCCCGTTCACGACCCCGATGGTTTGGAGCTCACTGTATGTTCTCGAACCCCTGCAGCTACCGAAGCTCAATCTCTGCAGAGAGTGTAAAAAACCTCAAAGACTAACTCGATTCATCTAAAAGTATCACCAAGTACAACCTCGTCCTCGGTATCCTGGCTGTTTTCATGTGGATCACCAAGATTCCACTTCACATCCTTCACATGCTCTACCCGCCCGTGTGCGCCTTTGTTCACGCTGGCTTGGTCGCGGTTTGGATTTACTCTGTACGGTATCAAGCCGGCCCTGACATGTCGGACCCAGACCACCCTCAGCCAGGCGCACCATGGTATATCACCAAGAAATGCTCCGTGGCCTACGTGAAGTCAAATGTGCATTACTGCCAGCAAGCAAAAGCACTATTTGCGTTCTCCATCATCATCATGTATGGTGACCTCTTTCTTACTCTGGGACTGGTTCAAAGGCCTCCGCAAGCTAACAAACGCACTTCAGTCTCTTCTACTTTGGCATCGCCTGCCTCAGCCTACGCAACTGCATCATCACCGAGGAAGAGCGCATGGAGATCGACGAGCGCCGGGAAGATGAGCGGGCCATGAAGGAATTCGAGGACTTTGTGCTCAAGTCGCCGGGCATCCCCATGACCACGATGCAGCCCCTGGGCATGCCTCCCAAGTCCCCCATGCACCACGTCACCGCGGCGCCGAGCGACGGCGGTTCGAGTTCGGACCTACCCCTGCGCCAACACTTCAGCACCCCGAACCCACGGCGCTCGATGCAACAAGACTCGACGGAGACGCTGTCGGGCCATCAGCCCCAGCCGCAACCCTACTTCCCACCGCCACCGAAGAAGGCCGCCAAGAATTGAGTCCGGTGGGGTCGTCGGTGATGAAAGGACTAGTTGTTACTTGTTACTGAGAGGACGGGATCGTTCATGAAGCGTTGAATCTGTCTGGCCGTGCGCATAATTCCTCGGCACGGTTCAAGCATATCTCTCCTTTTCCCTTGTTGCCACGATTATCGATTGTCATGTCTAATGCATTGTTCATACCCCATTTCCCCTTCCGGAAGTTTACCGGTTAAGAGCCAATAGTCTAATCTTGTCATCCCATGCACAACCTGAACTCAGCTCGTTTCCCACAGCCCCAAATGAAGATCATGCGTGGATCATGAATTCGAACCGGAGGAGACATCGAGTCCATTCGATTTTAGTCTGAATATACATATCCCGTATAGTGTCATGCCATCATAGACACAAAGTCATAATCAAAAGCATTGGCAGTAAGATTCACATGCTCTGCTGCAACAGCACGCACAGAAAAAGCAGCCCAAAAGCCAAGAGGGGGCAGAAAGAACGAAACATCCCAAGAAACGAAAAGAGAAAGAAGCAGGGGGTATCCTCGCAAGGGGGGGTTCTCAATGTCAAACCCAGAGTGGCAATTAATGCAGGTAGTACAGTAACAATCATGACAAACGTCGCGTCAATGGCCCTTGAAATTTCCCCCATTACACCCACCTTGCAAAGACAAGACCGGGGAAGAGTACGGCGTAAAGGTTTTTGCTGGTCAGGGATCTTGGCGTTTCTTCTCTTTTTTAGCCCAGCGTACTGTATTGTTTAATTAGTTATAGCTCTCTGCCGAACGAAAGGGAGAAAAGAAAAGAAAAGAAAAGGCCCAGTGCAAACAAAACGTTGAGTGGGAGAGAGAGGGAAGGGGTCAGACGGGCAAGAGCATCAACTCACATCCACAAGCATTACACAACGTCTTCGGACCCTCGGGCCCCTTCCGCCACTCGGGTGAATCACTCGTCCCGCAGTCCGTACACATATACTCGCCCTTGAGTCGCTTCCTCCGGTCCCCATCCCCGACTCCTCGATGTGCCTGGGGATCGTTGCCAGACGACTCGCCACCGATGTCCGAGTAGTGGACCAACCGACCGTGTTTTTGGCCGGTACTCAGGCCCTGGGACCGCTCGCCCTCTCCATAGTACAGACCTGTCATGACCTCAATGCCCTCGATATGCGACATGTCGTCGACCGCAGGTAGGCGGTCCATGACGCCCTCCATGCCGGGGAACGAGCGCGAATCCGCATCGTCGGCGTTGCTCGTGACCGTATCGGAGGATTCGTTGTCCTCGCCGGAAGTGGAGGGAGTGTCGCGGGTAGGTGCCCGGTTGGTGGTGGATTGGGTGACGGTCTGCGTGGTCGTGATGTATGTTTGGCGGGTGGTGGTGGTCGAGGTGTGAACAATATGGGCATCTCTGTTGTTGTTGTTGTTGTTGTTGTTGTTGTTGCTGGCGCCGCTATTACTGCTGTTAAAAGATTGCTGTGTCGCGTTGAGCTCTTCTTCTTCCTCTTCCTTGAGTTGCGCGATGCGCTGGTTGAGGCGGATGTTCTCGATCTTGTGCTCGAGGAAGGAGTTCAGGAGTTGGGCTCCCCGCGTCGGGTAAGGGCGACAGACGAGGAAAATCCCTCGGCATTCAGTTTGTTTCTGCTGCTGCAACTGCTGCGGTGGCGACGGGGATAGCGGCCGTGGAAGTCTTCTGTGACCATTTGAGCCCGATCCACTGTTGATACCATTACTGCTACTATCACTACTGCTGTTGTTGCCGTTGCTGCTCGCACTGGGGCTGCCGCTGCTGGCGCTCCGACCACCATTGCCACCACCCGGACCACTGGGCATCGACGAGGGATCCGAGGGAGCGATATGTGGATGTCCGTGCGCCTCGAGCAGACAGAAGCTGCTGTCTGGTTTACAGAAGCGGAAATGGCAGCGCAGCAGCCGGCCGGTCTGAATACATTCTTTCAATTCCTGAGTGAGAACGGACTTGTCGTCCTCGTGAATATAGCGGAACAGATCGCTTTTCTCGAGCGACTGAGCTTCGAAGCCCGTGATCTCCACGCACGAGGGTGACGCATACAGAACTCGACCTTCGCGGTTCAGCAGAAGCATCAAGTCCTTCATCTCCTGCAGGACCCGCGAGGCCCAATTCTCACCGTTACCGTTGCCGTTGCCGTTGCCGTGCGCAAGGGAGTCAGCCGACTGCTGGCCAACTTCGGCGCTGCCGGCCGCGGCCGCAGCCGCGGCCGCAGAGTGGATTGCGGCGCTGCCGGTGGCAGCCACGGGAGGCGAAGTGGGACGACCGGTGGGAGGTATAGATGGTGGTGTGGTTGATGATGAGGTTGAAGATGAATGCTGCCGATGCTGTTGTTCGAGTATACCGGGGCCGGGGTGGGAGGCGGCTGGGCCGAGGGTGCGTGGGATGCTCCGCGCATCCATGACGCTATACGGGAAGTTTGCCAGCTGACCTTCGGATGATTTTGAGTTTTGCTGGACTGGCGGCTGACGGTGTCCGTACGCCTGATTTTGGTTCTGCCCGAGCCCTCGTGGAAAACCAAGTTCCATGTTCAACGAGTTTCGGAGGACAGGGGAGAAGGGATGGGGAAAAGGCGGAGATATGGAGCGATCGGAGGTGACCAATAGAAGATTGGCCTCCAATCTGATCAGTGAGAATGGCAATGTCGGAGAAAAGGAAAGAAATGCGGAAGGGAGAATGAATAGAGAGCGCGTGCCAGACACGCTCTCTTCTTGAGTGTTAAAGTGTTAGTTGATGAGGAAGATGAGAAAGATGAACTGATGGAAGAGTTCCAACGGGGAGATTCTCTAACCTCGCCTCGCCTCGCCTTCCTCCGAGGGCGAGACTCGATCATGTTTGCATGCATGTTTGGAGTGTTTGAATGCGAGCTGTCAATTCCCGCCCGAGCCTTGATTGGATCGAAGCTCCACTCCGAGTGGATCAGGTGACATCGATTGGCGTTTTGTCATTTCATCATTGGAATCATGAACCCAGTCGACTTGGTGCAATCGCAATTTGACTGACTATCTGGACTTATAGTGGCGCTCTACAGATTATTGCGGGTCAAGCTCAACTACTTGAGTACGTCGAATCTGGCTGAACCCTCAGAGTCGAGGCAGTTGAGCACGGTACGGAGTACTTACCGGTGCCTTCATCCGCTGCTATAGGGGACGTGCGTTTTCTAAGAATATCCTCATTCGCGGGGTATCACATAAGACACGGCAACCCGGAGCTTGATAACAAATCCTCCAGACCTATAGGGATCTCACGCCTATATGATCCGGCTGCAACCCTTTTCCCCCTGCTATTGTTGCTAGTACTAGCAGGGTTGGGCGGACGTGATGCATAATCTCTCCACCCCTCTCAACGACACAAACGTATTTCCGTGGCGATCGCTGCCATATGCTCATATGCTAGTACTGTATGCACTCATACTCCTGGGAGTATGGCCAGTAAACCCGTGTCCCATCTTCTTTCTCGCCTTCTAAAAGCGCTCTTCCTTGACACAACACAGGGAAGCATATCGTGATTTCCGGGTGACAGCATAGCGTCGTACCCAAGATCCTGTCAGAATGCCGCACACGGCTCAACGTTCTCCATCCAGGGAAGCGACCTATCGACTGTCTCTCGTGCTCTTGCGCGAGCGACTTCGACAAGCTGGGGTCTGAGTCTGAGTCGGGGGTCTCCCCCCTCTCTCTTGTGTGGAAGAGTGGCGTCTGCAGCGGACCACCACGTCGACAGATAATTGCATCGTCGTGCATGACAGCCGCAGGTGTCGTCTGCAAAGAGAAGCAAGTCAATGTGATGGGTAGAGATATGGAATCTGATGGCTCCGATCAAGGGGGACGATCCTACGGCGTCACTGACCTTCTAGCGTTATCCACTTTCGAGGTCATCCGAGATCGTTGATTTTCGGGCAGCTGTTCGATTTGCATCGAAGACCCCTACTTAGACTGCTTTTTGATTCATGCTTAAGGTTGGTGGTGTTCGAGGTGAGGTACAGTACCTGGGTTCTCTTGCCAAGAAGAGGGAAGTGGTGTGTAAAATGCATCGTGCGAGGTAGTATCTTGACAGACAGACAGTAAGTCCTAGAAGCATTTTAGCGTGTGTATGTCTCGATGGAATCCAGATATCGAAATTTGTGTCTTTCTACCTGAGCAAGATATGAAGGGAGGAGATGGCCGGAGTTCACACCGGGCAAGAGCGATGCCGCACGCTGACACTGTACAAAGCTGGTTTACCTACACTTACTCCAGAGTTCCTCGAGACTCCATAAAAGCAGCTTCCGCACTGAAATCTCTGTTGGGTATTGCTGCAAGCAGGTCACATTATCAACGCGATATATCATAAGTCGGAGGGAATTGCTACGCTCATGCAACTGCTTTCGCAGGTACACTTTCAAAAAAAAATTACCCAAAGTCAATCAAAAAGACTTTTCTCTCTCATTATTCAAATGGCAGAGCCACAAAGGTTAACATGATAGATACATGATCCGAGCGCAACGCCCAACAACAACGACTTTTGCCAGAGGAAAAGCACAACGACAACACCAACAAAGCTCCAAAGCGAGTCTGATCACTCAAAGCATCCTACAGACATGCCAACAAGCGATTCCAAAGACAGCTTCTCAGTTGACGCACGAGCAAGTCTGTCCAGCGTGTCGACAAGTACATTTGGTCAAGCCTCCACACATACACTTTCCATGGATTGTGCAGCGACCCTTGCAAGGCCCGGCGGGCTGTGTGAGAAACGTCAGTAAAGGACTCGAAAGAACATCGGGAGAAGTGTCAGAGGCTTACCGCTTGAGCGAGATGTGACACCGGGGTACTCTCCACTTCCTCGTTGGTATCCAACTGTTCGTTGGTGTCCAACTGTTCGTTGGTGTCCGGTTCCTCATCATCGGTCCCTGAGGCCGAGCGAGTGTTCAGAGTCGAGGTCGTGTTCATGGTTGAGGTGGTGTTCGAACCCTCATCGGTGGGGGAGTGTTCCAATCGGGCAGCTGGATTGTCGAGGTAGCGCGTGCACGAGCATGGGAAGCCAATTCTGGGGCAACGGCAATGGGTTACAGAACCACCTTCGCAGTAGCACTTGTGCTTCAGGGTGCAGGTCCCCTTGCATTGCGGGGGTGGCTAGAGAGCAGGATAGTCAGCGAGGGCAGGTGACAAGGTATCACAGGCACCCGATCCATGACTTACAAAGCGAGGCAGGATAGGCAGCGTCTGGTTGCTTGGACTTTCGGTGAGGTTCAGATGACCAGAAGTGGTGATCGAATCATCCGTGGTGTTCAGATCAGCAGGGGTGTCCAAATCATCGGTGGTGATCGGCTCTTCAGCGGTATTTAAATCATCAGGGGTTTCCGAGTCATCGGTGGTGTTTGTAGCATCAGTGGTATCCGAATCATCAGTGGTGTTCGAATCATCAGTGGTGTTCGAATCATCAGCAAGTTCCGAGTGATCAGTGGTGTTCAACCCATCAACAGCATCAAAACCACCCACATCGCTCTGATCATCATCTTCCGCGGACTCATCGCGAGACTTGATGTGGTTGATGCATCTGCACGGGTAATGAGGAAGCCAGCAACGGCAACGAGTATATGGGCAGTGACACCATTTGTTCACGTCACAATAGCCCACACAACTTTTCCACTAGAACAGCAAGACAAAAGTCAGCAACAGTTACAGGGAATCGATAGACCTTCTCCACTTACAGTGCCGGGACGTGGGACCTGGCTCTTTCCTCCGCCCTGGATAAGGCCCTCGCTCTGGTCGTCACCATCAAGAACGCCGTCATCAGGGGCAGCTTCGTCTGACACGGAGGGGATATCATGGTCTGCAGTAGGCTGGGTGTCAGGTTCTTCACCAGGGCTGTCCTCGTGCGAGTCCAGGTGGTCGATGTTCACAACATCACTGGAAGTGGGACTCTGAGGGTTTGTCAGGGCAGTCTGCATGAACAACCCAAACACCAGAAGGAAAACAAGGAGATTCTTGAGGCGGAGCATCGTGAACGATGGAATGAGTGGATGTTGAGAACGATTTCAGGATGAAAGGACTGGCGGAGGTTCTCAAGACAAGAGGGAGGATGAGAAAGAAAGTGGGTGGTGGTGAGGAAGAAGAGAGGATGAAGAAAAGGAGAGATATCGAGGGGGGTTTTATATCCCACGAAGGCCACACGGTGGCGAACATTAAGATTATATCCAGCTCGCTACCGGAGATTTGTGGTGCTCACAGTGAATGTTGGGATAGAATATAGCTCGTTATCAGAGGTGGCTGGTATCTGGGGTGATTACACGACTAATATCAACTCGCTTCCGGCCATACCAACAACCCAGAAAGAACTTTTAAATTACATCCAGTTAGCTAACGAAGAAGCTTGCTTGTTTGGTGAACATGGGCAATATCAGTGACTCGCAGGCTGATAGCCCAGACAAAGAGATCACACTCGGGGTTGTTTGATTTGGGACTGTGCATGATACAAGAGCCGGGATGCCTTGCTACCATCTATCAGATGTTATCCAACTGATACTATGAGAGATTGTTATATAATCAGTTGCGCGGTATGAGAAGTATGATGAGCAGCTAGGCTCACCATAGCGATTTCAGCCAGAACCAATACAGTATAAGGGATATCTTAGATGTATGCACACCCGTGAAAGTCTTGGAACTATGCCTAATGCTCTTTTCTCTGCTAGGGCTCACTGTAACCACATTGGCTCCATATAGTAGCTACATAACCATCAGAAAACAAAAAGTATTAGTCTAGAAAGCTCAAACAGTCTGAACGCCATCTCTCCCAAGGATCAGGATCTTGCCCTCCATTCTGACCTCCACCCACCACCCCCGCGTGACCGTTCGTCGAGCGAGCTCGCGAACTCTGCTCCAAATCTCGGTCCCTCTGTCTCCCACAACATATCCCAGGAGATCTCCTTCAACAGTGCCAATAGCTTCGTCGCCAGGCCGGAGTACACGAAGTCCCCCGAAGCCGAAAACGGTATCAATGGGTCGCCATTTCCCAGCCACAGAGGAGGAAGATAGGACAAGCTCGGCTTCCTCGCCGTGTTCGACTATGGCATAGTCAAAGTGAGACCAGAAGGTAGGGTCCGACTTGAGGAGAGGAGATTCAGTTTTATCGTAGTTCCAGATTGGCGAGTCGGACTGACTAGTGGGGAACTGGAGGAAGCGGGTCACGCCGGTTTGGCAGGCCAGATTGCCAAGATAGACTGATACATGGGAGGCGTTGTCTGATGAAGGGATAGCATGGTTGTGGAGGGCGTCGAGGGCGTGTGCGCCGGGGTAGTTGGCGGAGGAGGCGGGCAGGAGGACGAAAGTGGAGACAATGAAGGAAGCTAGGGTTGAGGCTAGCAGGGCCAGGGAGGAGAGACGGTAGATGATGGATTTGGCGCGGTGTGTCCAGATGTAGGAGGCGCCTTGAGCGGAGACCGCGGTGAGGGCAGGGATGGTATAGATGACGAAGCGCCATTCCTTGTGGGGCTGGGCGCTGTAGATGGCGAGGAAAACAAGAGAGGGAATGAGGAGAGACGCTGCGATGGAGCGGGTGGCGGGTTGCAGAAGCGAGATGGGAATGCCAACAAGATAAGTCATAGGGTTGAGGAGGAGACGAGGAACGGCGTTAACGAAGTAAAAGTACCACGGGTCAATGCCCCAGGCTGATGCTTGACCGTGGATGACATTGAACTTGAACGCCTCGAATTCGGGCCACAGGGGAAATTGCTGCCAGAAGAAAGAATCCACGACCACAGTCGTGGTTAAACCGATGACAAGGCCCACGATTCCGGCGGGAACGATCTCATGTACGATGCTGATACGGCGGGTCGCGAAGAGGAAGACCGTGTTGGTTGCGAGGAAGATGGCAAGCTCGGAGCGGAAGATGATGCCAGCTGATGTCAGAAGACACAGAGCGCGTCGTGAGCGTCTTCGATACGCTGCGGTAGACAGGGATGGCTCTGGGAGAAGGTAACGCAAAGCCAGGGTAGTCATGCCAAATGCGAACATGTTTGAGAGCGTCCGCGACGCATAGTACAGAACGTGGAATTGGCTGCTCTGGAACAAAAGGTACCAGATGGCGGTTGTCTTGCCGGCAGTACGCCGTAGACCTCCCGCAAATGACAGCAACGAAGCGGCATTAAATAGACCTAGGATAGCTCGAGCTGATGAAACGATCCTTTAGCCATCGACCTCACAGCGGGAAAATATCTTTCGCGCTACTTACCAAGCAATTGCCTGTCGACGGAGTGCTGCAACCAAATGAACGGCCGCGCCAGACCGGCCAGCAGCGCGGCGCCAACGAATGTCCGAGGAACAGCACCCGGAAAGGTGAAATGGTCATAGCCCGCACGTAGTGTCTCGCTAACATTGCTCGTGGGGATTCCGTATGCCAGAATATCATGAATGGCTTGTATATGGAAAGACTCCTCTACCTTGGTGTATGGCGCAACGACCAAATGGAGAAGAATGAGGGCGGGCACTGCGGCGAGGAGCAGCACGTAGACTGGAGAGGGTTAATTGATTTATTTTTTCAACCAGAATGAGCATAGCACTTACCAGCATCTCTCCCACTCATGATGACCCTAGTATTCCCAGCTTGCGAGGATACAGTCATGCTCAATGCATAAGAGGAAGCAAAGAAGTTCGAAGTATGAAGACAGATGGCCAAAATCACATGAGTGGGTGCCTGTGCCTTCCCGCAACTTCCCTTTCCACTACGCCATCATCCAACACCACAAAGTACACACTCTCTCTCTTTCTCCGCTTCCACCGAACATCAACCTCCCACCACCAACACTCCTCGGCATTCCTGCAAACCTCCCGCCAAGATGTTCTTCTTCGGCCTAGGGAAACTCTTTTACGGTCCGTCCCCTCTCTCCCCTGGTCACCGATCCATTGAGCTTCCCGGATTCAATCCGCAAGCCAACCTCCGAAACTAACCATCGCGTCTATCTCCGCAGTCGTCATCCTCTTTATCAACTCCCTCGCCATCCTCTCCGAAGACCGCTTCCTCGCCAGAAGTACGTCCACACAGCTCCCCGAAATCTCCTCAACCCTCCACAACCCTTCTCCCCGGAACCTCCTCAGCTAACCAAGCTCCCTCCCCCAAAACAGTCGGCTGGGGCCGCATGCAAGCCGACGCAGCCTTCGGCGCAACCTACGACAACACCAGCGTCAAGGCCAAAACCATCAATCTGATCGCCAGTGTCCGGACCGTCATGCGAAGTACGTCCTTTTTCCTCCCTCTGCCCTATCTCACCGAGACCTCAAGCCATATACTCCGAGCTTCCCCCTCCCCCAGACACCCTCGCGCAAACCACTCATCTCCCACACCACACCGCGAGTCCAAAAACTAACCTCCAAATTTTCCCCTGCCTCCAACGGAGGGTAGGGGGATCGGTATACAGTACCCTTAATCGTGATCAATACCATCGTCATCATCTACGAGCTTATCCTGGGTTAATTTTACCCCAAGCAAAAAAAGAAATCATTCGATGCCTCTCAACAGCTTCTCGACTTGTTTTTACCCGCAACTCACGAATCCCGATTTGTTATGTATACCTTGTCTACCTACATATTCTTATACTATATTTCAGCAGCGAAATTCTACGAGATGTTCCCTTGCTTCTTTTTGCCGGTTCGGTTGTGTGGTGAGTCAAAGGATTGGGGAGTAAGAACAAGGGATGATATATTATGGGAATAGAAATGGCAGTTGTATTGATGTCTGCTCAGCATGGGATATACCACATATATGTGATTTCGAGATTTCAACGGATGGATGGGTCTCGCGAGTATGGGGGCGTAGAGGATATCGGTTAGGAAATGATATCACTGCGGTCGGGGTCTAGCCGCGAAGATGCTGGACGCAAGCGCATATGACTTACCAGCAAGGCCATGAAAGATAGTAGTTGTGTTAGTCCAGATGGGCGGGAAGGGAACAGCGTCATTCGAGATACCCTACAGAAAGACAACACTCTTCGCATACATATCACATTGGTATCAAGGTCTATATACTGCGCGTACCCGCAAGACTTGGCCTAGGCGAGTTCCATGCATGATATGTCCAGTTGAGGTGGGGCGTAAGCACGAAGTGCCACTCCTGTGTTCAGAGGGGGAAAGCACCAGCGAATATATCCTCCCTCAAACTATTTCTTAACACGAATTGAGCATCCACTCCCTGGTGTCATCTCACCTGAATAAAACAATTGTAACAGAAAACACTTTCGCCGAACGCCCCATTTGCCCAGTGGTGTGACCCAGGCATGGGTATCACAGGGAGATGAAATCGGTGAACAAGAAAAAAAGAAGAGATCAAGAGAAGGCTAAATCAATATGCAGACCGACAGTGATTTGGTCAATGCACCAAGATGCAGGCAGGTAGGAGCTGGCAGAATGACAATTGTGCAAGTAAAACAGAAACCGGATCCCGTTCGTTGACGCGCAGTCCTTTCCGCATGCATGATAGGGATAGGCCACGTCGTCAAAGTCAGAACGGATCCAGTCTGGAAGGCAAGGGTGATGATACATGGAGAAAAACGATATGTACGACAGAAATGCGTCTTTTATGTGCAAGAAAAGTGTAGATCTGATACACGTGGTGACGAGTAACAGGCCATCATGTTCACAATCATGTTCACGAAAGAATGCTGAAGGACTTCTTTCTAATGCTGAAACTCCGCCATTTCCCATGAGTCTGCCGATCGCTCTTAGGACTCTTGAGAGAATCCGGATCATCATCGTGAGGGACTAGAAGTGTCTCGGGAGGCGTAATCTTCTGGGGAGACAAGGGTTGGAGTGGCTCAGGTGGCATATTGCTTGAACTGGACGTCTCGGAATTGGGTACTGCGGGGGACCCGGACGATGACGCCCGACTTTCCTTGTCCTTACCCAGTCTCTGGCTGAAGCTCTTGCTGCCTCGTTTGAGTCGACTCAATCCACCACTCTTGCCACCGTCATTGCGTCGGTCTTCATCGGCCTTAGACGCTCGGCTGGCCTCGATCGCCGCCTTGATCTCAGCTTCCTCGCGTCGCTGGTTCTCTTTGTTCTCCTTGAACCGAGCTTCTTGCTCCTTTCGGCGCTGCTTTTCTAGCTCTTTCTCGGCTGCTTTCCGTTCCTTTTCCTCCTTGGCCCGTTCCTTCTTGGATTGAATGTCACTCTTCTTGGGGCTCAGTGGTCGCGTGTGGACCTCAGGAATAGGGGGCACCGGAGGGGGCACGGCTGCCGGAGTATGCGGAGGAACGGCTTCGGCGCCGATATGCTCGGTGTGAGTCGGGAGCTGAGGCGCCGTCGGCGCGCGTTTCAGGCCGGTGAATCGGTGAGGGTCATCCTGCGAGGGGATCTGTGATGCACTGTGGACATGAGATAGCACGGGCGGCGAGACGAATCCATTCTGCTTCACGGTAGTCTCGTTCAAATTGAGATCTGCCATGGTGGCATTGAGATCCTCCTGTTCTTGTTCCTTCATGACAGCCTCCATAGTAGTTTCCTGGTAGAACAAAACGTAGGCGCAGGCGAGTCCGGGTTTATCTCCAAAGAAGTTCCGCACGTAGTTCTTGTCCACAGGCTCCACCATCTCATCATCAAAGAGCAACCATCCGCGATCCTGCGTCTTGATAATAGCCACATAGTGACCGTGGTAGGGACCGCCTCCGATATGCACCACGACTGCATACAACTCGTACAATCGGTCAGGATCCTCTGCATCGTCCGTTGTGTTGAAAAGACGCAGGTGGTACGGGTAGACGACTCGGTGAAACAATTTTTGTAATTTTTGCAAGTCCTCCGTGTATTTGAAGCGCTTGAGATGGAGAGCCAAGATGCGGGGAAGACGTTTAATTTTCATCCGCTTTTCTGCCTCCTGCAAACCGCCGCAGTTGTCACAGTGGAATTTATTCCGCTCACAGAGCATCTCTTCTGCGGAGAATTTCCTCAAACACGAGGTAACCGACGAATGCTGTTCCAGATCAACCGACAGATCTAGGAAGATCTCATCTCGCTGAGAGACGTTCTCGCAGGTCAAACATTGTGTTTCGGACGTTAAGGTTCCTTCAAACAACTCGTGCACCCATCGCGTAGTGTTGGGGGTCTTGGAACCAGAACTTAGAGAGTGTTGTGAAGATTCCATACTTTCGGCGGGTGGCAAGCTCCTCTCGGGCTGTTTCATGGCCTCCGCTTCGACATTCGCTACGACCTCGTTCAGTAAAAGGATCAAGAACTCATGGGCGTCCTGATGCATGGCAGTCCGAAACATCTCATGATCCCGACGGAGGAGTTCCAACAAGCGCTGTGGTCGTGTTATACCAAGACGAGCCCGACTCGCCACAATCGACTCAAATATATCCTTCAGCGATGTGAATAGTGATTCCGACATTCCGTAACTGGCTGAGTTGTTTGTGGTTTCTAGAAGGGGGAGAGTCTGTAAGGCCATCTTCTTCTTGTATTCCGGTGAGTCTTTATCTTCGGGTTTTTGTGGCTGATTCGGGGGCGCCCCTGGACGCTGTGGCGTAGCAGCCTTCTGCTTCTCTGCCAGTGCCTCCGCTTCCATATTAGCAGCCGGGTTTTGGTAATGGAGGTTTTTGGCCAATGCGGCTTCCAAGTTCTCTATTGGTGTTCTGGTGGGATAGTTTATAACGGCTTCTCGGAATGGTACTGAATAATAGAGACATTGTAATATCGAGTTACAGTAACTGTTCGCGGACATTAGTGATCCGGTCACTTTGAATATATGCGAGTACTTGAGGTAAGTAGACCGGAAAACGGGCGTTAACAACTCACCATGTATTTCCGAACTGGACGAGAGGAAGTCTATCAGCAAAGTTCTAGGAGCGAAACGTCGTGGGGCCAGACTTACATTCTCCATCGCAAAGAACTTGTCACTGCCATCTTCTCGGATCGAGCCCATATCCTGGAGCATTTTCTCTAACGGGGTCATCATCGGCGCCTGGGGTTCTTTCTTGGTGGGAGGCGCCCCAACCGAAGGCGTGGGTCCCTGAGGGCAAGACAGTTAACATTCGTCGTTTAATAGTGGTGAGGACAAAAGCATTAATCTATGAAATCCCATTGGCCCCGACCGTTGAGCGCACTCAATGAACGGAAATGAGGCAGCACGATTCTCCAGCATTTGGATAAAGCGATTGCGCCGCCGGGAGTAGGTATACTGAACCAGCCGGGCACAGACGAGTGGGAGACGATGCGGTCGCGAAGAATCCCAGAAAACCAGGCCGACCAGGATAAAGACTCACCACATCTCTCCGGAAACTCCTCAGAAAAGACCCCATGATTATCGCACAATCTCGTAAATCCTAATTCAGCCTCATCGGGCAACTGACGGTGGGAAACCGAAGCCGACACCCGGTCCAGAAAAGAGAGCGGCAATGGAACCACGCGCGGATCGGGGAGTGTCAGCAGGCACGATCGGAGGACGGGAAGGCAGGCAGGAGTGATCCTCGACGAGTCGCGTTGTAGGAATCCGGTGATGGTTGTCGACAGGAACCAGGTAGAAGAATCCGCAGTGCGCGGAACCGCCGAGAGTTGTTGCAGGACTGGGGCCTGGATATGTGGCTGTGAGAGCGTGGAATGGGGCGGAAACGTGAACGGGCGGCGGATTCGAAAGGTGGAGAAAGACCGCGGTCCGAGTCGGAGACGAGGGAACCGAGAATAACGCAGGAGATTGGATGAAAAGATCGAGGGGTGGTAATTATCGGCGTAGAGAAGGGTGAGAGAGATTGGGAGCGAGGATGAGAGAGGGAGAGAGGGAGAGATGGAGAGAGTAGGAGAGAGAAACGAGGAATGGGGAGGAGATGAGAAGGTGGGCAAGACAGGCAGCCAGAAGAAGAGAGTCAGTAGGTGAAGATGGCGGGAATCCCCAGGCTTGTCTGTCAGGAACCCTTTCCTTAGTCACAGCCTCGAAGCACCAACGAAGTATGTTATAGTTCAGTTCCCGTACGGAGTGGCCACGAACTTACAACTCAGAGAGAACTCTTTTGCCTGTTCGTATCGTACGTACGGTATGGACCTGGTATTGGTATCGTCCCATCTTAACAGTCCTACCCAATCAAGTACTGTACTATGTCACTCACACTGGCGGGCCTGAGCGGTCATACTTTGGGACTCGAAGAGAAAATGAGGGGAAAAGAGGAGAGAAACGAGTTGATGTCCTGCTACATGGGTATGATGGTACTGTCAATCATCTCATTCACAATTATATCATATGCCTTTGTTACTGATTCGCCGACAAGACGTTCAATGGATTGGGTAAGAAATGAAGTAAAGTAAGCAAGTCTGGGAAAGCTGGGCCGCTGTCGGTGAACGTGGGAGTGGGAGATCGGTTTTGGCGGCATCTGTCGGTTCAGTCGGTAAGTTATCTTCCCACCTTAACTCCGCGCTTTCACCGATTGCTGCTGATGCTGATTAACACACCAAAGGAAGAAACCAGAAATCTGAGCCCTTCAGAAAGAGGAAAACAATCGCGGCCGGTTCCCCCATTCCAATGTTTCTTGATTCCTGGTTTCCTTACTAAAGGAGGAGGGGAAGAGGGGGAAAGCCGGATTGCTACGAAGATGTGGTCCGGGACATTCGATTCTCTACGTCAGTCACTCGAAGGACTTGGTTGAAGCTCCTCCACCAGACAATGAAACATGGACGTGCGCGACGCCCAATCTCAATGTTAAATGGCCACAGGCAAACATCTATCCACCCGGTGGCCGGTCGGACTGCTAGCACCCTCGCACCCTCCGCCCAACAAGTGTTGTCTACTTCGTACTTGTTCGGTTAGACCAGCTAATAGTCACCGAGAACTCCAGTCAGCAGCCCTGCGGGCTACGAAAGCCTACACAGTCTACACAGCCTACACAAGTTTACCAACGGCTCGACGTTGTGTGACACTTTCTTAAACCAGGACGTCGTGGTAGGCACCACCGTCAGGCCCATTGGGGCAGGTCGCAGAACAAAGCACAGCAGAAGCAACCAGAAAGTGAGGGTGACCTTCTAGAGCCGGGCGAAGCAATCCTTCGGATAATATAGCACGCATCATCAGGTGCAGCCAAAATGTTGCGGCCGGGGTTGCATCGACCTCGCCGTCCCCCGATTATGATAGGTTGCCAGCCCATTGGCATGGCTTAGCTCGCCAATGAGCCATCGCAACCGCCCAAATGCTATCAAGTAGCGATCAAGATACAGCCCGGCCGAGCGACTGACCTGCAGCTGCAAGTATGAGCACCCAAACAAGATCGTTGGACCTACCCTGCCACGCCCTTCTCCGGTTTGCTGCAGACGAACAAAAGGAGAGAGATCGGAATATTGACCACGAATGACAAGCCATGGGATTTTGCCCTAGGCAGCGGGACGAAATGCAGTGCGTGATTTTACTTACCTCCCTGGTCGGGGCCTGTCCTAGCGGGCGTCCTTGGCGGGCGGCTTCAGTGCTGGCGGCCACGCTTAGCGGTTGAAATTAAAGAGTGACGAAGGTGAATTTATCATTCCCATTTTTAGCTGTCTATCTCAGGGATGTCAAAGGGGAAGAGGCAGGAAGGCAACCTGTTGGACGGAGGTCGAGTATTCCGGTTGAAAGTGTTCGATCAGGTACAGGTACAGCACACCTACGAGCAGTGAGCACTCTCAACACATGCAAGGTAATTGCACACCTTTCTACCCCACGGATGGGTCCTCGTGGTCAGTCAGTAGTTGGTGTGGAAGACTTCCGACTCAGATACGGAGTGAGAATCTCGAGATTCTCTCCCCCTCCTCTTCCTCTCCTCCTCCCCGACCGCGGAAGCCGTTCCTAAACGTCATACCTTACGGTTCTGTGGAATGGTAAGGTACTGTAAGGTGGTACACCAGAACCACGTGGAAACACAAGGATCATCAAAGGGCCAAAAGACCAATCGATTTCATTGCAGCTCCCCACCATTCCCCATCACCCCAGCATTTGAGATACTAGCGTCATACGCAGGCTTGTGAGGGGAAAACTCGTATAACATTAGCCGTCCGTCCTCCTGAGTGTCCAGATATACCGGTACGCATCAACAGGCCAGCCACTCGTGTCTGTTACCGCTTTGGAAAAGTGTGCCCTGCCAGGATGGATAAATGCATGGGCATGCATGGCTGGTTGCATTCCGATGTCAAACTCAAATCAGGCCTCTATATCCGACTCGGAATAGCATAGCCACGACCCCACGAGTCTGGTCTGCGTTTCATCATCCTTGGGTTACTCGACGGTTTCAGCTTGTTTGACAGCGGTGTCACACAAACCGGTCGTACTCTACAAGAAGAGAGATAATCTATCATCATGGTCCTGGTCCTGATAAGCAAAACCACTTAATGGATAAGTCCAAGCAGAATCGTCCCAGTTGTCGACCCCCACTTGTGCTGGAGCAGCACTGGGCCAATCGGTGTGAATTCCCACGCGGGCCCCGCAAAAGTCTGACTGCTCTTACTCTTACAGTACAGGTACATACATGAATGTACCTGACTTCGGTTTGTAACTCCGTACAGACCGTCTGTCAGGTCAGTGACTCGGTCACATCACCCCATGCACCCGCCCCCTCTTCCATCCCACCAATGAAGCTTACTAGATGGATGGGCCCCATTCTTTTGCTTACAAAGGATGGGGGGGGAGCACGAGACTCCCATTCCAATGATTGAGTAGGAGAGTGATGCTGTCAGCCTGCGTCAGTGTCCGGAGTAGAAAAAAGCATTGGTGAGCGGTGGTTCTCATGTCCTCACCAATGGCAATTGAGTAAGCCACGGCCAGAATGATACGCGCTAAGTAATGGAGTATCACACCACGGCCATCTACAAGCTACTGTAAGCTCATTGCTTATGTTCGAATGCTATGCCGATGACATTCAATTTCTTGACTAAATAACGAGTTAGATATTCATTCTGAGTTCATGCAGCATAAACTAATTGGCAAAGTAGAAAAATTCCCGATTCCTTCAGAAGCATAAGCACAGTTGGCAACAACAACAACAGAAACACAAAGCACGAGTGCGCAGAATACGTAAATGATCACAGCGAAACCGAAAACAACCATCGCCTTCCCGGTCTGAGACCACAACTGGGACCATCCTCAAGAGCCTGAAGTCCGTCTCCGCATTGAATGAGTATCAAGTACCCCTTGAGATGCCTGTTCAGCTTACGCAGGATGGATGCATCGACTTCCGCAGTCCAAGGGATTGTTTCGACCACCGAATCAGTCGATGATCTCAACCACCTCAACGATATCCGGATAGTCCTTCAAGGCCTGGTCATCTCTCCGCGCTCTCATCCCCTTCATCAGCCATGGGTCCATGAACAGATCCCAGATCGTAGGACGGTCTTTGGGATCCCACTGCAGTGCTCGACGCAACCACGGCAGAAAATCCTCTGGGTCTTCGCCTTCGATATCGGCCGCGGCTTGTTCGAGACTTCGGTCCGGGATAGTGACCAAGTCTGTCCAGCTCCCGTTCTCATCCCAGAAAATATGGCCATGGGTTCCGCGGCGTGTGAATTCGCGAGGGGGGTGCCCGAGAAGAGCGACCAACTCCGCGACGTGGGCGCCATCGTCCCAATGATCGTCCCTCCTATGATTCGAGATCAACGGGCGAGTACTGATACAATCCCAAGCCTATTTTCCCCGGAGAGTTCCATGTCAGTAAACTGTATCAACAAACCTTATAGGGTCCGCGAAATGAAGCCGAAAAGCGTAGTTTGGAAGACTGACCAACATCCCCACCCCCCAGCTGTCAACTTTGTAGTCCCAGCTCGGAAAGACCAGAATAACCCCTGGGATGCGGTGTAAGTCCGGCATGATCATCCCGCAATTGTGCTTGTCGCCGAATCGTGCTTCTCCGAATTCGCACAGCACGGGGAGTCCGTCTTCTGTAGGAAACAATCTGGTGGCGTAGATGGTTCGATCTTGGAGGATTTTCCGTGACGGCGGGTTTTTGATCATATTTTCCTCGTACCTAGACATTCTGGCTTGAGAAGCTGCAGGGAAAAGTAGATTTCTCATCTGAAGATCCAGATCATGAAAGTCAATCTTTCTGTTGCTGCCCTGGCTTCCGGACTCACTGGGGTGAGGGAGGTCGAAACATTACCAGTATGGATCACTTCAGCTGCCCGATGCAGATAGTCTAAGGCATACAAGACTCGCCGGATCAGTGGCTTGGCTTGATCAAGTCTTGGTGCGGGATCTATGACACCAAGATTATGTCCGATTGTATCTAGCTCGAGCACGCTCATTCCGAAGAGTTCATGGACCAGGCAGGCGCGACGACCGTTAGGGCCTTGAAGAAAGAAATGATCGAGGAGTTTGCGGATATCCTTCTGGCCGGGGTGGTCGGTCCCGGTGGATTGGATGTGGTTGTAGACGCTGACTTCATTTCCCGTCCGTTGATTCAATGTAAAGACCTTGAGGGCGACGTAGGTCGACTCGCTTGTTTCCAGACACAACTGCTTTGTATCTGAACTTACACAAAATCGCGAGCCAGCCAGACGGTCGAGGAACTACCGTAGCCGATCTTAGAGATCACCTGATACCTACCATTCATGATCTCCCCCTGTTCGACCGGGTAGTATGACTCTCGGGTATAGCTCTAGTATCCAAGTCATACTACCTCGTAGTGCACAAAATGAGTTGAATGGTGTATGCCCTATAGATCTGCCCTAATTTCCGGATTGAGCGAAGAACGGAGAAATTGAGGGCCGAGAAACGGCCGGGTCGAGCCGCGGGAAGCAGGAAGGAGGAAGGAGGCGACTTTCTTTCCCGATCATTGATGGAATCAACAACTGAGGGAACAACTTAACATTCTTCGTCCATTTGAATGCCCTCTCCACTGCAATCCGCATCACTGCGCTGCTCTCGACGAGCGATTGGCGTAGCACAAAGACTGACTCACCAGAGTGGCTGTAGAATTCGCAGCATTAGCAGCATTAGCGGCATTGACAACCACAACCACAACCACAACCGCAACCGCAACAGCGACAGCGGCCGCCGACCAGTTGCCCGCCCAATCAATCAAGCCCCCACCATCCCCCACCATTCTTCATCTTGTTCTTCTTCTTCCTCTTTCTCTTTCTCTTCTCTGACTCCTCCGGCCTTCCCCTCTTCCACTCCTTCTTTCCCCCCCTCATCCTCCTCCACATCCCCCTCTTCAGACAGCACAATGCCTAAGGACAAGGAATCCAAGGTCTCTTTCAACCTGAAGACCCCCAAGGGTACGAAGGACTGGTCCGGGTCCGACGCCCTCCTCCGCGACCGCATCTTCTCCACCATCGCCGACGTCTTCAAGCGCCACGGCGGCACCGCCCTCGACACCCCCGTTTTCGAACTCCGCGAGATCCTGGCCGGCAAGTATGGCGAGGACTCGAAGCTCATCTACGACCTGCAGGACCAGGGTGGGGAGATCTGCTCGCTCCGCTACGATCTAACCGTGCCCTTCGCCCGCTGGCTGGCCATGAACCCGGACGTGCGCAGCATGAAGCGCTACCACATCGCCAAGGTGTACCGGCGCGACCAGCCCGCCGTCAGCAAGGGCCGCATGCGCGAGTTCTACCAGTGTGACTTCGACATCGCCGGCACCTTCGACCCCATGGTGCCCGACGCGGAGATCCTGCGCATCGTCACCGAGGTCTTCGAGGAGCTGGGCTGGAAGGGCCGCTACAACATTAAGATCAACCACCGCAAGATTCTCGACGGCCTCTTCGAGGTCTGCGGCGTCCCCGCCGACAAGATCCGCCCCATCTCGAGCGCCGTCGACAAGCTGGACAAGATGCCGTGGGAGGACGTGCGCAAGGAGATGGTCGACGAGAAGGGGCTGGACGGCGCCGTCGCCGACCGGATCTGGAGCTACGCCCAGAAGAAGGGCGGCCGCGAGCTGCTGGACGGCCTCCTCGCGGACGAGACCCTCACGGCCAACCCCAACGCCAAGGCCGGTCTCGACGACATGGCGCTGCTGATGGACTACCTCGAGGCCTTCGGCGTGCTGGACCGCATCTCCTTCGACCTGAGTCTCGCCCGTGGGCTGGACTACTACACCGGCGTGATCTACGAGGTCGTCACCGAGGGCTCCGCCCCCGCCGTGCAGAAGGGCTCCGCGGAGGCCCAGGCCGTGCAGAAGAAGGGCAAGAAGGACAAGGCCAAGACCCTGGAGGATGACGACCGGTCCAACGACCCGACGCTGGGTGTGGGCAGTGTCGCCGCCGGCGGTCGCTACGACAACCTCGTGGGCATGTTCCTGCCCAAGGCCCAAATCCCCTGCGTGGGCGTCTCCTTCGGTGTCGACCGCATCTTTTCCATCACCAAGGCGCGCATCGAGCGCGAGAAGAGCGCCGAGGCCCTCCGCAGCAGCGAGGTCGACGCCTACGTCATGGCCTTCGGTGGCAAGGGTTTCACCGGCATGCTGAAGGAGCGCATGACCGTGTGTCAGTCGCTATGGAACGCGGGTGTTAAGGTATATCCCCTTAGCCCTACAACTATCCTCTGAATTCCAACTCCCCCACTAACAAATTACCGCTGGCAGGCCGAATTCTCCTACAAGGTCAAGCCCAAGCTCCCCCAACAATTCAAGGCCGCCGAACAAGTCGGCGTCCCCTTCGCCGTCATCCTCGGCGAGGACGAGCTCGCCGCTGGCAAGGTCCGCATCAAGGAGATGGGTCTCGAGGACGGCCACCCCGAGAAGGAAGGCGTGCTGGTCGACCTGGCCGCCCTGCCGGCCGAGATCAAGACCCGCGTTGCCAACAAGCGCGGCGGCCAAAATGTGCAGGAGATCACCGAACAATTGGAGGCGACCAAGGTAGAGGCTTGATTCATGTCTTCATGACCAAAGAATTATACAATTTACAACAACAACAAAAAGGGAAGGGGATGGGGGCAGCCAAACTACAATGTGTGCAAATTAGATACACCCGCCAAAAGAAAATCTCAATAAGAGGGGGACACTGTTGGAAAGAATACCCAGATTTTTTTTTTTTTTTTTTTTAGATTGCAGTCGAATTGAAAGCGTGGAAGCGTTTCGAAGACTTTTTTTGGTGTTTGAATTAGAGGGGTGTACTGCTGCGGTAGTGGGTCAGTGTACCCTTATTTTCTACATGCTTCGCGTGAAGGCTTTGGTACAGTACATGCCCAGTGGGAAGAGTACAGGACAGCTGCAGTATGCACCTAATTTTGATGCTGCCAACAATACCCCTAACCAATCGAATTCGATATGTAGTAGACAAGAAAGTGATATAGATAATTATACATGTGAAAAGAAGACGGAGGAAGCTGTGCTGACTGGGCAACGAAATCACTGCGCACCCCGCATCAATAGCCCCTTGACGAACGGCACCGAATCAATCACATCTAGCCCGAAGCTGCGCGCCCACGCCACCGGCCCGTTGCCGGGGACGTTGTACAGCTTGTGCAGGACGTCGCACGCGCCGCCGATCTTGGCGTTGGTCGCGAAGCGCTCCCCGGCGTAGCGCTCCAGGGTCAGCAGGTCGCCGGCGTCCATGCCGTGGGTGGCGGCGTACTCGACCGTCTGGGCCAGCGCGGCCACGTCGCCGAGCCCCAGGTTCAGGCCCTGGCCGGCGAGCGGGTGGATGACGTGCGCCGCGTCGCCGACCAGCGCGACGCGCGGCGAGATGTAGCTCGAGGCGTGCCGGAAGCGGAGCGGGAAGGAGGCCACGCTGCCTTCTTGCACGCCGGTGACGAGCGGCGGCAGCTGGCTGGGTTTGCGCGGCTGCGGGGTGTGTTGCAGGCGCCAGGTGAGTTCGTCTTCGTGCGGGTCGATGGCGGAGGAGGAATCGGTGGATGTGGGAGAGGTGGTGGAGGGGCGTTCCATGCGGAGCATGTAGGTTAGATCGGTCATGGAGAGGCGGAAGGCGGCGTTGACCGTCGCGATGAAGGCGCGCGGGGGCAGGGATTTGAGGTAAGCGGCGTTGGCGACGGTGGTCGACCAGACAAGGCTGGCGGTGTTGTCTGGGAGGGGCAGGAGGGCGATGGGACCGCCGAGCGCGGGGAGGAAGCGTTGGAACGCGGTCTTGATGTTGGGGGAGCTGTGCACAGGGTCCAGGTCGGACAGGGAGAGCGTCGCGACGACGCCGTGTCGGTCGTAGTCCCAGCCTGACGTGGAGATGTCAGCGAAGCGCCGGACGGGGCTGTTGATGCCGTCAGCGCCAACGAGGAGGCGGGCGGCTATCTGCTTGGGTGGTTGTGCGGAGGAGGAGGTCGTCGGGGCGAGGGAGAGGACCGGCCAGGCGGAGAGGTCGGGGCCGTCGGGAATGTCGGAGCCGTTGGCGATGGAGGAGACAGTGGTGTTAGAGAAGATCGAGAGGTTCTCGTCTCCAGACTCGGCGATGCGCGAGAGGAGGGCGCGCACGAGGTTGGAGTTCTCGGTCATGGTTGCGACGGTGCGCAGATCCTCGAAGGGCGAGGTCTCCATGGACCAGTCGAAGGTGATGCGCGAGCCGGTTTCACCATCCCAGACCTGCATTTCTTGATAGGGCTGGATACGAGCAGTGTCGACATGGTCCCAGACACCGATTTTCTGGAGGAAGGAAACGGAGGAGGGTGTGAGGCTGCTGACGCGGTTGGAGTAGTGCTGCGCATCGAGGGACCATGAGCGGGCTTTCTGCAGGTCCTGGGTCTCCACAAGGGCGACCTTGAGCTTGGAGGTAGCGGGGGTAGCTCCTAGTGTTTGTCAGATCATGTCCATTGGACAAAGGAAGCTAGAGACTACATACGTAGAGCTGCGAGCAGGCCTAGGCCTGCAGGACCACCGCCGACGCAAACGACATCGTAGATCTCGGGCGATGCGCTGCTCGGGGTGGAGGCGGATGCGAACCGGCGGCGAGCGGAGAGACGGCCCAATTGGCAAGACGGGCAGACGTAGGGCCGTGTGGCCGTTCGTACAAGAGAGCGCATGGTGACCGGAGGAATTGGACAGAAGACGTCGCGGTCGTCAACCGGGAATCATCCGGATGGAATCGAAGTATCGGATGGATGTTGGCTGATGGCTTGCAAACCAGACAAACGGCCGCTGATCTACACTCGACCGCCTTAATCACCGCCTTAATCGGCAGAATACTGGCGACCTCGCGAGTCAAAATGCCAAAAACGCCAGGAACAGCCCCGAAAAAAGAGTGGAGCCAGACTGGTCATTTTAGGCGGTGGCCGAAACCAGCGGCCGCCATCTGAATTAGCATGTGTATAACTATCCCGGGCCTCTTCCCGACCTCGTATGTTTAACTTATAGACAAGACAAGAAGATAGAGTCAGCTTCTCTATCGCAAGGCCTGGCCTCAGTGCCTTTCCACCTAACACCGACTCTATCGTCCTCTCTCCATACACGTACACATACATCCCCAATCCCCACTCAAATGAAAGACCAGCACCGAATCCCACCTTCAAACCCCGAGAAATGAAGCAACGAAAACATTCCCTGCCGATCCAATGACTCAGGGGCAAACCATAATCGACCGAATTCCTCTTCTCTGTGCCAATGCAATTTTCAGCTCACTTACAAACACAGTACTGAGTAATTTGAAACAACCTTTCTCGCCCAGCATACCAATCCCAACCAGTAGTGTCGTCCAGCTGAGCTGTACAAATACATACGCGTTCACAGCCCCCCTATGCACTCACTCCGCCACAATCCCGTCAGACATGAAGGGGAGTCGATCGTACAGTACATACAGACTAAAAACTTTTCAAATAAAAGTAAAGGAAATCTGGCCCCCTTTTCTTGAAATCGTGTCGCACCGTTCATCCCATACATGTTGCCCATATCGCAGGGACTATGCGCATAGCACCCACTAAACCCTGAGTAAATATGGCATCCGACGCCCCATCCACACCGTCTCCTATATCTACATCAACATCACGATCACCGCCAACACCAACATCCCAAACCTCAATCACCTCGCAAAATCCCCAATCCCAGTCCCAATCCCTCCATCTCAGCGCCAACTTCGCCTCCCCACAATCCCACCAAATCGACTACGACCACGAGGTCTACCTGCGCCTGATCGCCGGCGAGAATCCCAAGGATACTACACAGATCACGAAGACGCCGAATCAGATTTATCGCGAGGTAGCCCCCTTTCCCCCCCCCCCGCCCTTGTTGTTGGGTCATGTTCAAATATACCCGCGAGCGAGCGAGAAAGACAGAGAGGCAGGCTCCAAGCTAATCCGGGGAAACGCACGGCGGCACCTGTAGAAGCTCGTTCGCAGGCAAACGACTCGCGCCTTGGATCTGGCGGTTCTGGATCCGTCGGTGGGGCAGCAGAATCCGAGTCCGGTGGATTTGGAGTGGGCGGAAAGTCAGAGGGTGAGGGATCGGTTGGTGGGGAGTTAGGGCTGATGAAGAGATCCTTGGGGGAGGGAGATGGGTCTGGGGGAAAAATGATAGATAATGAGACGTCGTGATTTTTTTGTTCTCGTCAGCCTAGCCCAGTTCCTCTCTCCCCTTCTCAATCCCCTTCTTTTGTTTAGAATGAAGAAAAGAAGCCCTTGATTGACAGAGGAAGAGGTATAAGCAGGCACAGCAGGCACAGCAGACACAACAGTCACAGCAAAACAGGCTAGTCCGATAGAACAATAGAGAGTATACCTAAAGGCAGTTGGACCGCACAACACGATCATAAAACACACGCTCTCACAAAGCTACCGACTTTGGCCGGTCCCTGCTTCTCCGACGTTCTCATCCAGATCACCCTCCATCTCGGCGACGAACCGCTCCCAGGTATTCAGCACGCCCTGGTAAAAGTCGATGTGCTTCTCCGCCATAGCCCCCAGCGTGTCTTTGAACTCCGCCGCCTTGATCCGCTCGAAGTCGGCCACCTCGCGCACCACCTCCTCGTCGAACATCTCCGACGTCGTCTTGGCCGATTCCACCTCCCGTGTCAACTCGTCGATCCGGAGCTCCAGTTTCCGCACCCGTTCGCGCCGCGACTGCTCGTGATCGACGCCCCGCATGTCCTCCATCTTGGATCGGATGAATGACGCAGGCGACGAGGTCAGCGGATTCGAAGCATAGTAAGACGCCGGGTTCGAGGCCAGCGAGTCCCGCTCGGCCACGGCTTTGTTCCGATAATCCACCAGGGCCTCGAAATCCAGTTGCTTCTGCTCGCGCGTCTTGAGCAAGGACTTGAGCGACACGATGTACGCCTCCATATCCCGCAACGACCCCAAGTAGTTCTGATCGGTGTGGTCCTTGAGCGTCTTCAGGCCGCGGCCGGTCTCCTCCACCGAGGCCGCGAACACCTGCAACGGCACCTCCACCTCCGGCTCCAGGGGCGTCAGCTTCCGGAACTGCGTCGCCAGGTCGTTGTAGTCCGCTTCGAGGTCCGACTCCCGTCGTGCGACCCGAGCCACGATCTTCTCCACGTGATTCAAGTCCTCGTCCAGCTTATCGGCCTTCTCCCGGACCTCGATGAACCGCCGATCCGGCTTGTGCACCTTGGTAAACGCATTGACGAACGTGTCGGTGAAGTTGTCGAACAGGCCCGGCACCCCACTCCCATCGGACGTGCTGGTCGAGTTGCGAGACGACCGCAGCCGCATGTGGGCGTTCCAGTCGGGCGACTCCAGAAAGATCGCCAGCAACGGCGCCCGCCGTAACACCGGGTGCAACGTCAGACGCTTCAGGAATCGATGTAGGGACCACGCGCGGCGTGTGGTGAACTCCGGCCCAAACCGATCGCCTCGAACATACTCCATCTTATGCTTATCCGGCAGCGGCGGGACCGCGCACGCGGGATACTCGCGGTACAGGGTCTTGTAGAGGAAGTAGAAGTCGGTAAACCGTCGTCGTACAGTAAACTCGGATTTCTGGAAGGACTTGAAGTCGGTCTGTAGAACGCGGCAAGATTAGAACTTGAGTCTATCCTGTCCCAGCATCCTCCCCCCCTCGCCCCGGGGCGGCTAGGCAGCCGTGCGGGCAGCGAAAGCGACACCACCGCGTGTGAAGGAGCAACCCACCTGTGTCGTGACCAAGTAGGATATGTATGCATCTTTCGTGCCGTCATTCTCCTTCAGAGGCGAGTCGACCCGGCATTCGAGCACGCCGTCTCCGATTCCAGCGAGGTCCACGGCATCGGCCATTGGTCCGGCTTGGGTGTTCTCTTGGGCGGAACTCATTCGTCGCTTGCCATTGACATCATGACCGTGTCCATGCGGCTCTTCTTCTGCGTCCGTTCCGGAGGTTGTGGGTCGTGAGACATCACTGTCGGGTTCATGGCGCCACGAGACGCTGTCGAAGTCGTCGTGGTGATCCATCGAGCGAGGGGTTTGGCTACCGTCAAGAGCCGGCGGGGATCTATCTGCGCTGTGTCGGAACTACGTGCCTGATCTGGTTTTTGAAGTTTGAGAATGAACGTGCCAATGTCACAGTATGAGGAGAGCAAGTGATGCAATGGGGTGGATTGTTGTAATGCGGAGAAGTGTAGCTTCAGGTCTCAAGATGTGGAGGTGAAGTTCCGTTGGAGGGCTGGGGGTTGGGGGGGGGCAGCTGCCGTCATTGCCAAGAACCCACCCGAAGTGAGACGAAAGCGACTGGACTCGGTGGGTAAGGTAGCTACAGTTACCAGAATAGCTACTATGTAGTGAGTGCAGGGTAATCTACAAATTGCTCTGAACTCATCGCCCATTCTTACCATCCTCGTTATGATTGCGAGGCGTTATTTATCCCTGCTATATACACGGCTTTTCTCTTTTCGCTTTCATGCACTGAGGCAGAAGACATGTTCTCAGCAATCCATAGAGAAGAGAAAGAGAATGAAAATGCTAATGCTCATCATGCCATAGATCAAGCAACATGAAATAAGTAACAACCCAAACCATCAGAAAGTCTATTCGTCCGCTGTTCTCGGATGGTGTCCTCCGGTTGCACCATCACGGTCATGTTCCTCGCTAATACCCCGGTCCCTGTACGGCTCTTCATCGTCGTCGCTAAAGAGAGGCTCTTCGTCGCTCTCCCCAGCAAAAGCATTGTACAACTCACCGCCGCGGCGGCGAGTGCGCGCCGACCGTCCATTTATCGCTTGCAGCTCATCCTCATCCTCAACCATCTCAAAATCATAGTCGTCCCGGCTGTCGTTGCGGAGGCGTTTGCGGCGCTGGACATGGAAGTAGACGCCTAATCCGATGCAGAAGACGATGATCGACCCAATCGCGGCGTAAATCCAGGCTTGGGTTCGCTTCGATGCGCCGAATGTGGGGAAGAAGGATGGCAAGAAGCTGTCCGAAGCGGCTGAGGGCGAAGCAGCCACGCCAGTCTCAGTAGGGGAGACCAACTTATCCTCGGTCCCCGTTGGTACCGCCGTTGTAGTGGGCTTGACGTTCACCGGACGGTCAACGACATCGGTAGGCTGCGTAGGAGGCTTCGTCTTGGCTGGGCCAGGATCAATGCTGGTTGTGGCCACACTGGTGTCCTCGTAATCGTGGTCGTCATCGTGTTCGGTGGGCATGGGGTGCAGGGGCTGGTTAGTACCATCGATAGCCTCTCCCCAAAGATTGAGCCGCCAGTCAATGAATTGACCGCTGTGCTCGTTGACAAGAGTGTCCTTGACAATCACGGTCCATTTGCCGACACCAGACTCACCCCTAGGAATAGATTAGCACAAGCCAGCGGAGACTGGAACGGCAGGAGGAAAAGAGGCGAGGAACTTACCAGTGCGCAACACTCATGAAAGTCCAGTCCACATAGCCTTCCCGCTCATTATCGGGTTCTCTGGCCGTACTGAGGTGGCTGATCAGCCCTTCCGGGCTGCGCAGTTCGACGCTCAAGTCTCCACGGCGTGTATGGTTCACATTCATCGTTACAGTCACATGTTCCAGGCGTTCGAGGTTTGCTTCATCCATCATCGCTCGAGTAACCTCGTACGAGCTGGCCAGTCCTTGGTCGCCCTGTGGGACCTCATGGTGTACTCGCAGCCAAGGGGAGTGGAACCATGCTTGGGGTTTCACCAGGTCCCAAGTCTTCGCTTTTTGCACCAGCGTATAGGCGTCAACCCTGCCAAATCCCCAATCGTGGCTGAACTTCCTGCCGTTCTTCGTGTTCTGCCAGCTCCCATCGTTCTCGTGGACAGGTACTGCTGACTCCACCATCAGGTACTGAGCATCGCGCCAAGTAAGCTCAGGTCTCACGCTGAGCGCAAGAGCCAATGTACCTGCAGCCAGCGGTCCGGCCGCAGAAGTACCTCCATGCGACGAGTAGCACTTGTCCGTCCCCACATCAGTAGTATGAATTGCATCGTTTGAGCCACTACTGTATGCGACAACCAGCTGGGCGGAGCAAGATTCGGAGTAGCTGGGGTGTTTGTTCTCACGGTCTATTGCACCGACGGTGATGCTGTAGATGCTGTTAGTATATCCATCAAAGTTGCAGTTATCATCATAATTTGCCCCATTGCCGGCCGCGAAGACAAAGATCGAACCTCGTCCCCCGCGACCATTCTGAATGCCATTGACCATAGCGCGCTTGATCAAGACTCCGGGCGCCTCCATCGTGGCGCCATCGTCGAACGGACCCCACGAGCACGAGTAGATATCATTATCTTGATAAGCATAGTTGATGGCTGCTGCCTCGTCGGTGTCGTCGATTGGTTCGGACAGAATTCGGATGCCTGAAATGCGACTATCGTAGGCGACACCCACACCGCAAACATCATTTCTTGCCGCACCAATTTCACCCGCGCATCTGGTACCGTGATGGTCGTCGCTGAGCCGCGGCCTCGGTTCAGGACCCTTGTCGTTGTAGTCGTACGAGCCCTCGGCGAAATAATTGGGCTTGAGATCATTGCTGTACATATCTAATCCATCATCGACCACTGCAGTAGTGGCGCCTTCTCCAGTAATACCCTCCAACCAAAGCCCGGTTACATTCAGGTCATTTCCAACTTGGATAGTATTGTAGAGATGCCATTGCCCGTTGAAGATGGGGTCTGCGATCCCCAGGGACGTAGTAATCTGCTGTAGAGCCTGGGCGGCTACCGGGTCCTCCTTGGGGGCAGCGGGCGACCGGTGGACATTCGCTGGTTGGGGGATTCGTTTCTGGAATCTCTTCTTCGGGGCCTGCTTTTCGGACCAGAGAATGCCATCGAGCCCCTCCTCTCTCTTGCTCAAGGCCGGGAGGCTAGCAACGAAATCTCCGGAGCGTCGCCGCAGACTCCTCCGATGCCGCAACTGATCCAAGAGCGTGGTGACTTCATCACTGCTCTCTCTGGGTATGGAAAAGGTATGGTGTTGTGGCAGTTCTCCGATGGGGCCTTCATGGCAAGCACCCAGTCGCTGTGCTATGTCGGCTGGGGAGGCGGAGTCGTCTAGATGCAAGGCGAAATAATCGCGTGTCTCGTAGGATCGGTAAGGGTGGAGGGAGGCAGAGGCAGAGGCAGAGACACAGAGGAAGCCGAGGGCCACTGCGGCACCACCAGAAAGACGCATGGTGGGAGCGCAGTCGGTGGAATAGTGTGTCTATTCAATGAAAAGAGATTAGGCCAGTTAATGTGGTGGTTGCGGCATGGACACCAAAGATATGAGTGTCTCACAGCCGGGGAACGATCGACCAGGGAGTCCGCGAGACCGAGGTTG